AATATGTCCATCCTACCCAAGGCAATCTACAGATTTAATGCAATACCCATTAAATTACCAGCAACATTCTTCTCAGGAATTCATATGGAAACATAAAAAACCACAAATAGCCAAAACAATCATCAGCAAAAAAAAAAAGCAGAACTTAAGCTTTATTATAAAGCTACAATATCCAAAACAGCCTGGTATTGGTACAAGAACAGGCATATAGACCAATGGAACAGGATAGAGATTCCAGAAACAAAACCTCAATTTCTCAACCAACTCATCTTTGACAAAGCCACTGGGGAGAGGAGAACCTATTCAGTAAGTGGTGCTGGGAAAACTGGCTGACTACACGCAGAAGATTAAAAGAAGACCCCTACCTATCACCATACACAAAAGTTAGCTCTAAATGGATCAAAGACCTAAACGTAAAACCTCAAACTATAAGAACCTTTAAAAATGCGAGGAGACACCCTTATGAAAATTGGAACTGTCAACCAATTCCTGATGAAAACCCCCAAGTGCCCATGCCATGGATAAGATAGGCAAGTGGGACCTCATCAAACTGACAAGCTTCTGCAAAGCCAAAGAAACCAGCAAGAGAGTGGGAAGACAGCCCACAGACTGGGAAGAAATATTTGCCAACTGTATATCTGACAAAGGCCTAACATCTAGGATCTACAAGGAACTCAAATGTGCTACATAGAAAAAAACAAACAGCCCTATTACAAAATGGGAAAAATATTTGAATAGACACTTCTCAAAGAAGACATACAAGCAGCCAATAGATACATGAAAAAATGCTCAGCCTCACTGATCATCAAATAAATGCAAATTAAAATCACACTGAGATACCACATAATTCCATTTACTATGGTCATCATCAATAACAAAAAACAACAGATGCTTGAGAGGATGCGGCAAAAAGGGAACACTTCTACACTGTTGGTGGGAGTGTAAACTAAAACAACCTCTGTAGAAAACAGTGTGGCAATTCCTAAAAGATCTAAAAATCGATCTCCCATACAACCCCCCAAACCCCCTACTGAGAATATAGCTGGAGGAACTCAAATCACTCTATGAAAAAGATACCTGCACATGCATGTCTATTGCAGCATTATTCACAACAGCAAAAACATGGAACCAACAACCGTGCTGCCCATCGAAAGAGGACTGGATTTTTAAAATGTGATACTATACCCAATGAAATATTACGCAGCCATAAAGGACAAAATTATGAACTTTGAAGCAACATGGATGGACTTAGCGTCTATAAAACTGAGTGATCTATCACAGAAACAAAGAACTGAGAATCACGTGTTCTCACTCATAGGCGGGCCTTGAACAACTATCGTAATATCCATGCCCATGAATTAGAAGAATCTAGATTATTAAAATTACCATATTACTCAAAGCAATTTAAAGATTCAACACAATCCCTATTAAATCACCAACATCATTCTTCACATAATTAGAAAAAAAATCCTAAAATTCATATGAAACAAAAAAAAGAGCCCAAATAGTCAAAAGTAATCCTAAATGAAAAGGCATCACATTACCCAACTTCAACTTATACTACAAAAATGCTATAGTAACCAAAATATCATACTACTCGTACATAGATCAATAGAACAAAACAGAATTGAGAAATAAACCCAAATAATACGCAAACACCAACTGATCTTTGACAAAGCCAACAAAACTAAATGATGGGGAATTTTTCACTAATTCAAGGTTACAAAGAATAAGAATTCCAGTTACTACATAATTCTGTATATAAACTGTGCCAAAGAAGATATGTCCTTTTTGAAAATGATAATAATTTTGTCTAATTCAGAAGTCACCTAATGGTTGTTTCAAATTATTAACTTGGAAATGTTATTTACGAAACATTGAAGGGATCAGTAAGAAAGAGAGATGTGGAAAACATTATGGATATGAATATGTATTTTTGACAAAGGTTATAAGGGAAAGAAAATGATTGTGTATGGAAAAGGATCATGTACAAGAGGTTTTGATTTCATTCTTTTTGTACCTCAACAGTGCAACTTTGTTGTGTCTTGCTTTTTCAGCTTTTTTTTTTCCCTGAAAAAGCCTAAAGTGATGGCTTTCTCCCTGAACATTTTTGTCAGCTCCTATAACTTTTTTCTCCTGTTCTGGCTGTTGTTGTGGCCTAATGGCAAAATACTCATCCTGAAAGTCTAGAAAAGCATTCCTTTCCTTCATTATAACTTTGTTCTGTCCTGCTTGTGGGGAAACTGGTTAAAATTAAACAAATTTGTTCATAGGGTTTTATTAAAATTAGCTTTCACATTAAATATACAAAGGTAAAATTTTGATTCCTCTTATGAGCAAACTTTTTATGTGATAGTAATAAGAGATAGTAAAAATTTTTGTTTACCTTTGAATAAACTGAAGGGGAAAAAGGAAGAGAGAGAGAAGGATGGATTTCATTGACCTCATCCTGTCTTTACTGGGTCTAATTGTTTGGGAAACTGAGTCTCCTCTGTCAGAGGGTAAAGGTTTTTGCTTTTTTGTAATCTCTGAATTATCCTTGTGGCTAAGTCAATGATTATTTTATAGAGACCTGTGATCCTATTTTGCGATATCAAGTGTTTTACCTTTGATATTTTGCTTTCCAGAACCAAAATTTCAAGTTCTAAGTTCAGTTTTGGGGACCTCAAATTAACTTTTTTTAGTTATTAAGCCACCTGAAGTCAAAAAGAGACACAGTAAACTTATTTGGTATGTCAAAATTAAACTGAAAGTACTGTCAAATATAAAATAGTATTTAAATTTCTTTGGGTTATATTTATATGAATGTGCTATTAATGTGTTCCAAAATTGTGCAAGATTCCTAAAAATCAGATATGTCTTAGTGTATGTTATGAATAATAATTATTGTCATATTGTTCTATGTCAAATAAATAACCAAATTCTTTCATCAATAGTGTCTTCAGTCATGTTGTCCTGAGCATTCATGATTGTTGTTTTGCTTTAATTGTTCTCAAAACACAGTTTGTGGTAGGCTACAGTTCAAACCTATTTCTTTGAGAGAGTTATTGCTTGCTGGTCCAATGTCAAACAGAGTAGGAGTTGATTACATGGACTAAAGTAATAGAGGTCTGAAATAATTTTTATGACTTTTTTGTTTGAAACATTGCTGATTTTTTGCTTCATTTTTCAGAGTGAAGAAAACTTTTTTCTTTTGAGCTGTTTATCATATTTAACAATTGAGTAGAGTATACTCTTGTAAACAAAATCTGGGGCATATTTGTTTCCATCTGATGCCTACAGAATTTGGAAATGATGAGTGAGTATTCTTTTTTTTCTTAAATCAAGATTTATTGAGAGGACAAAAAAGCTCCCACAACCCAAGGAGGTTGCCCAAGTATTCTTAATTTATTATAATATATAGTTGTTTACATCAATCCAATAAGAATCTGATTCCTTTTATAACAGGTTGCAATTGGAGACAATGGTACTTTTACCAAGGCATTGACTGCAGTAACAGAGTAAACTGCATTGAGAAATTTAGATTGACTTAATAGAGCCAATAAAAGCACTTAGGAAAGACTGACTTCATACCTTGTCAGTGCAGATCCTTTACAGGGTTCCTGACCTTTGAAAGGTAAAGAATGTCACTTTCTAACAGGCCTAAGAATCTCAAGATACTTTGAGACCTCAAGAAAAGAGGAATTCATACAGGTGTTATGAACACAGTCTAATGGAAAATCTTTAGCATGACTTCTGGCCTTGAGACTCTTAAAAAGTGAAATCCAAAAATTTTTATTAAAAATTTCCTGCAAAGCCAATTTAAAATAGCCTATATGTACAATAATTCTTGCTGCACTTTATGCAAATAATCAGTCTGAACTTTATTTTGCCAGTAACTTGGTCCCAGTATGATTTGTCTTTGGTAGAAATTGGAGATTGGAAGAGGAAAAAAATATGTTTCAGAAGAAAGTCATATTATGCCTGTTATTAGAGTAACGTTTGATTCCTGGGAAGCAACATGGTAAACATAGTATAGAGCTGCAATAGTGCTGCAGTTACCAAAGTCGAAGGTTACCAGTAGAATTCAGAGATGGATTCAACTCCTGAGGAGATGATTCACTGACTGCATAAGGAAATGCAAACTAATAAGGAAACAGTAAAATATTAAATCCCTTAGTTATTATGTTCTGCAATAGCTAAAATAAAAGTAAAAGAGTGGTGCCTTGGGGCTGGACCAAGCTCAGATGTGAGTCTATCTGGGCTCAGATCACTAGACTCAAAGCTACCCTCCCCCCACAAAACAAAAACATATGCCAGGACACCAGAAAGTATCCGTAACCTGCTGTTTCCAAGAAAGTAGTCAATGTGGGAGAAGGGTAAAACAAATTGAAAACTATCTAAACCAGACGGTGTAATGTAAAAGAATTATTTCATTTTATAGATTGGTATCATCAGCTTTCTGAGAAACCTTTACTAAAATGGATTGAGAGAATAAATAATTTGAAAACAATGTCTATGGTTTTTAAATGCTAGAGTGGAAGATCATGTTTTGGTTGACACAGGACACACACCTCAATTTTGAGCAATCACAGATGGGTATATATAATCCAGAAACCTAAGGGACTATTTATTTGGGAAGAGGCTGGCCATGTGTAGCATGATTCAGCCTGAAGGCTTAACTTCCCCTTTGGTATAGGAGTTTAGGGGTCCTGAGATTTCATTTTCCTTTACACTTGCCATATATATATGACCAGTCTCACATTCTTTTTAAAAAATATTGTTGAGAATGGCCTAAACCTCCATACCTTCAAAAGAAAATCATATCACCTTTCAGTTAACGAATGTTTCATTTGTTCATTCCCCATGTGATGAAGGACCTTATATATTGTTTTCAAATCAAAATTTTTTCCTTCTCTGATTTAATATATTTTAAATACAACCTACAATACACACTTCTCATAATTTTGATGGAGAACCCAACACATTTCCAAGTCATAGACAGTAATTTGAAAGAAAACCTTGGACACAGGTGACTCCAGAGTCTTGTATGATTCTGATTTTATACTTGTTAGCAGTAAGACTCAAATGAGCGAAACAGAGCTGAGTAAGCACTGGGTAAGCTTCTAGCAGTTCAAGACCTCTACGCTGGGTGTGTTTCTCAGCAAGATGACATTTTATATCCTGCTAATCTGAAAAAGAAAGTAGATGTAGATCAGAGACTTTAACTGGACATATTAAATTCAATGTATTATACAGTTAAATCCTTACTAAACAAATTCTCACCACTAGCATGCAGAGCATTAATTCTACACATGGTAAACATAGGGCAGAATTTGTGTAGGTCAATCTCCCACCATGGTCCTTGGATCCCTCTCTATAATCTTAAAAAAATGAAGATTGCCTGAGCCCGCGCATTTGAGATCCGCCTGGGCAACTTGGCGAGACCGCGTCTCTACAATAAATCAAAAAATCAGCCGGGCATGGTAGCACATACCTGTAATTCTGGCTACTCGGAAGGCTGAGGCGGAAGGATCGCTGGAGCCCAGCAGGTCGAGGCTGCAGTGGCCGGGTTTGCACTCCAGTCTGGGCGACGGAGTGAGACTCCAACTCAGAAAAAAACAAAGATTGCTTGTGACTAAGAGAATGTTTGGTTGACACACATATTGCACTATTAACTACAAGTGTTGAGCTGAGATAATTACAACCTCCATCTGTAATATGCTATAACCAATTACAACATTGTAACTCCTGGCTTTAAGACTGCAACTGAATCAAATGAGCACGAGAAGATACAAACATACAGTAATTACAACAACCAGCATCTAAAATGGCCCTAACAATACACAATTCCTGGTATTCACACCCTTACACATTATACCAAGGTTGGTCTGTCACTCCCAAGATTAGGTTATAAAAAACCTTGAGACCTGTAATATTGTGAAACATATATTTGGTCTCTGTCTCTGTTTCCTGGCACACAGCTCCTAAAACCCTTGGAATCTTCAGTGATAAGAATGTCTATTGTACACTAAGGAGATGACTGGTGGCTGAGGGCCCCTAGACAGCTTCAGAATGTGAGACTAGTCACCAGAAAGATCAAGGTAGATTAGCAGGCTTTCAGACCCACCTCCAACCTCAAGATAGGGGAGGGGCTAAAGGCTGAGTTATCACCAATGGACAATATTTTAATCAATTATGCCTACATTATAAAGTCTCTATAAAAACCCAAAAGGACTGTGTTTGGAGAGCTTCCAGATACCTGCACACTATTAGCAGAATCTGTCTGAAGGTTCTTGAGGGCAGCATACTTGAAAGGGCATGAAAGTTCCCCACCTCTTCCCACTTACCTTGCTCTATGCATCTCTTCCACCTGGCCATATCTCTTTATCCTTTGAAATATCCTTAATAATAAATGGGGAAACATAAGTAGAATGTTCCCTTATGATCTGGGAGTCACTCTAACAAATCAATTGAACCCAAAGAGAGGGCCATGGGAACCCCAGATTACTTCTATCCCAGCCTGTGGGTTAGAAGTATAGGTGACAACCTACTACTTGAGATTGGCATCTAAATTGGAAATCAGTTTTGTGGAGTTGAGCTTTCAACCTGTGGGATCTGACACTATCTCCAGTTAAACAGTGTCAAAATTTAATTGAATTAGAAGATACCCAGCTGGTGTCCACTGGAAAATTGATGTATAGAAAACAATCCCCATACATCTGATGTCAGAAGTTTTGTGTTGAGTGATGTAAGAGTAGAAAGTAGGAAAAACATTTTGAGGTTGTTGTTTTTTTTTTTTTCTATCTCTCAAGACCTCTCTCTTGTTGCTCTCTCAGATCACTCACTGCAGAAAGTCATCTGCCATTCATGAGTAGCCCTCTGAGGAAACTCAGAGGGCAAGGAATCAGGGTGTCTTATCTACAACCATGTGAGTACAACATACTTGAAGCACATCTTCCAACCTTGGTCAAGCCTTCAGATGACTGTGAACCCAACTGACAATTGACTGCAACCGTGTGAGAACTTAAACCAGAACCTTTAAGATACATCAGTCTTATAGTTCTTACCTTCAGACATTGTGTGATGTTTCTTGTCTTAAGTAGCTAAATTTTAGACTAATTTGCTATGCAGCATTGGTCTGCACTGGTACAGCAATGCAACCCAGATTGACAGAGAAACTAATTAAGTTCATGATGGATAAAATTAAGTTCATCACAGCCATAAAAAAGAGCAAAATCATGACTTTCACGGCAACCTGAATGGAACTAGAGTCTATAATACTGAGTGACCTCTCACAGAAACAAAGATCCGAGTATCGCATGTTCTCACTCATATAGTAGACCTTGGACATCAATGTAATACTACAAGAAAATGACTAACAGTAGTGGGAAACTATGGTGGGGGGAGATGGGATTAACGGTAGTAAATATCTGTCTGGGGACGGGGAAACACCTCTTATCAACAAGGGTGCCTGAATGAAACATATTTGTATACCTAACCCTTAATCATACCCCCACAAAATCATAATAAAAAATATTGATTATAAAAAAAATTAAGTTCGTGATGGATAAAATCAATCATCTTTACATTACACACAAGGCCGTAACTTGTAAAGCAGTGACTAGAGAGCTTTTACAAAGTACATGCAAGTACTTCTATACACTGCCCATGAAAGTGTAAATTTTTATAGCCACTTTTGAAACTGTTTGGTGTATCTACTACAGCTAAACATATGCCTGGCTAAGACCCAGCAATTCTACTCCCAGATAAACACAGAACAGAAATTGGAGCATACACTTACCACAAGATATGTAAGAGAGTGTTAATACTAGTTTTATGCATGAAAGCCAAATATATACAACCCAAATTTTCATCCATAGTAGACTAGATAAACAAATTGTAGTATATTTGTAAAACTGAGTAGTATGTAGCAATGAAAGAGCATGGGCTATGGCTGCATACAACATAGGTGAATCTCACTACCTAATTTTGAGTGAATGAAGTCAGAGAACAAAGAGTGTATCCTATATGATTATATTTATATGAAGGCTAAGAATAGGGAAAATTCATCATGCACTGAAATCAGAATGGTGGTTACTTCTGATGGGACTAACCAGAAGGGATCACCAGACCAAAAGAGATTTCTAGAGTGTGGAAATCATCTATATCTTCATCTAGGTAGAGTTACATGGGTGCACATGTATGCAAAAAACTACTGAACTGTGCACTTGAGCTTCTACATGTATATTATACTTTGACAACAAAAACAACAAGCTCTGAACAATTTATATGTTAAAGAAACTGCTCCAGGATAATAATCAAGAGGAAAACTTGTTTCATCTTCATAGCAGTCTGTATTTTTTATATTAATAATAGGAATGTATCTTTTTAAATTTTAAGATGTCATTTCAAAAGAATAGTATGTTACAGTGTAAATGTCATTTAATTACAACTATAAAATATATATACAGAGCAAAAAGGATGAGAAGAAAATGCACTGAAATATTAACAGATTTATTTTCTATGAGAAGAAAAGTGTTATTTTTTTCTGGTTTTTCTGTTTCTCTGTTTTGAGAGTTTTCAATGTTGAGCATATACTGCTTTTATAAGAGAAAAAAATGTTTTAGGACTGACTGAGAAAATTGTCCCTTGCTTACCTATTACAAAAAACATAGAGAAAGAAAGACAAACCAAAATATAGTATTTCCAAGGAACTTGTAGAAAGGTGCACTAACAGAGAGTGACATATTTAAAGTTTCTGTTATATTTTAAAATGTGCTATTTGGGGTCATAAATAGGTATTACTGAACAAGAATATTGAATGTAGTAGGTGCTGAAAAATTTTTTTTTAGTCACCCCATGCTCATGGATTGGACTAGTCAATATTCTCAAAAAGTCCATCCTACCCAAGGCAATCTACAGATTCAATATAATACTACCCATCAAATTACCAATGTCATTTTCCACAGAACTGGTAGAGTTACATGGGTGTACATAAATTCATATGGAAACCAAAAAAAGCACAAATTGCCAAAACAATCTTCAGCAAAATGAACAAAGTGGGAGGTATCACAACTCCAGACTTTAAACTGTTACAAGCCACAATACCAAGATGGTATGGTACTGGTACAGGAATAGGCACATAGACCAATGGAACAGGACAGAGATTCTGGAAGAAAAAACACAGTCTCTGAACCAATTCATCTTCAACAAAGCCACCAATAATAATCACTGGGGAAAGGAGATCATATTTAGCAAATAGTGCTGGGAAAACTGGATAACTGCATGCAGAGGAATGAAACTGGACCCTTACTTATCACCATGTACAAAAATCAACTCAAAATGGATCAAAGATCTAAACATAAAGCCTAGAAGAAAATATAGGAAACACCCTTATGCACACTGGAGTAATCAATGAATTCATGACCAAGCCCTCAAAAGAAAATGCCATAAAAGCTAAGGTAGACGAGTGGGACCTCATCAAACTGAAAAGCTTTCGCACAGCAAAAAAAAAAAAAAAAAAATCAAGAGAGTAAAGAAACAACCCACAGAATGGAAAAAAATATTTACTAATTATGTATCTGACAAAAGTCTAGCATCCAGGATCTATAAGGAACTCAAATAAATTGAAAAGACAAAACCTAACATCCCCATTAAAAAGTGGGCAAAAAGCCGGGCTTGGTGGCTCAGCCTGTAATCCCGCGCCTTTGGGAGGCTGAGGTGAGTGGATTGTCTGAGCCCGCGGGTTCGAGACCCACCTGGGCAGCAAGACCTCATCTCTACAATAAATCAAAAAAATCAGCCGGGTGTGGTAGCACATGCCTGTAATTCCAGCTACTTGGAAGGCTGAGGTGGAAGGATTGCCAGAGTCCAGCAGGTCGAGGCTGTGGTGGCCGGGAGCAACCACTGCACTCCAGTCTGGGCGACAGAGTGAGACTCCAACTCAAAAAAAAAAAAAAGTGGGCAAAAGACATGGACAGACATTTCTCAAAAGCTGGCATACGCGCAGCCAACAGACACATGAAAAAATACTCAGCCTCACTAATCAGGGAAAAGTAAATCAAAACTACAATGAGATACCACCTAACTGGTAAGAATGGCTATCATTAATAAGTCAAAAAGCAACAAATGCTGGTGTGAGTGCAAAGGGAATGCTTCTACACTGTTGGT